TTTCCAGCCTCTCCCTTGCCCCACCTCCCCATTTCTCCCAAATGACATTAACCTCAGTGAAATTTTTCTTTTGTCCTAATTTGTCTTTGTTGGTTTGATTGTCTGTCAGGCAGTAACCCAGTACAGAGAAAGAGAGTTATTCTCATAGGAAGCAATGAATATTCCCAGAAACAGACCGCCTACAGGTTTTGTTGTTAAGGGTGGGGTGGCTAGGAAGGGGTAGGGGGTGGGGAGAAAGGAAGACAAACGTGCCAGTTGGACTATTTGAAGACAGAACTCTCCTCCCTGGCCCAGCACTGACGACAGAGCTGAAACTAGCATGGGGAGATTAGGGCTTTGCCCCAGGGTGCTGGCATCTTGGAGGGGTTCTTTCTTCTTATGGGTAATTACAGTAAAGGGGCAAACAGCCTTGGATTGATTTGTTTATTGTGGGGATAGTGGTATAGGTGAATGTAAGATGATTTAGGAGCTGAACTGTAGTTTTATTATACAAAGATAATAGTAACATTGCTGCAATATGATGGTCTCTGAGACTGCTTCCAGGTTTCTATCTATGATCCTTTGATCTCTTTGAACCTTTTGACAGGTTCTGAGGGAGGGTCTATATTATTCTCCCCATTTTACAGGAGTGGAGAATGAAGCCCAAGGGGGGAGGTGTCTTTTCCAAGGTCACATGGTTGGTGAGTGAATGCATCTGCCCCCTTGGAAACCAAGAGCCCAGAGGGAGAATTCAGAGAGTGAAATAAATTACACCCACTCAATCAATCCCCGTTTTCCAGCCTGGCTTTGCTGGGTCCTTCAAGAATTCTACCTATAGTGTTCTGGCTAGAAGGGCCCTTTGGGATCATCGAGTCCAATGTCTTCATGTTATTTTTGAAAATGTTTTATTGATGCTTTTTTTCTCTGCATCACAGTCATTTCAATATGAGCCACCTCCCTCACCCCATTTTAGAGAGCAGGAAAGGAAGGTCCGGCAAGGTAAGAGGGCTCCAATAGTCATGTGACTGGTTAATCACACAGCTAAGACTAGAACCCAGGACTCTCACCTCCCACTCTCCCGCTTTTTTTTTTAACTCTACCCCATGACTTCCTCCTAACCATAAATTACCATCTCATTCCAGACCAACTCCAGTGTGAAGTCAGGAGGACATGGCCTAGAGGGGGATGAGTGGGAGAATCAGTGGCCTCATTTCAAAGCCAACTATCAAGTATTTTTGGATCTGCTCTAGTCCTGTGTTATCCTGTATTCTCTCTCTCCCTCCTTGTTCCCTTCAGGGTCTTGGATAAGATGAGAGCTCCCTGGGCAGGCAAATAGAGAGCTAACCAGGTCAGCACCAAGGCTAGCTCTGAGCAACCTGGAAGAAGGCAGCCCATTCAATTCCCCTGAGGAGACTTTCTTGGAATATCTTGGTTATCTTCATATTACTCTATTGAAGTGGGCAGAGGAGGGATGGTTATCCTTGCCATAAGCATGGGAAACGAGAGAGCATGGAGAATCTAAATGACTTGCCCAAGGTCACTGAGCAAAGTGATAGGACCAGAGACAGAGAGGGGGACCTCAGAGGCCAACCAATTCAAGCCCCAGGGAAAAGCGGAGTGACTAACCCAAAGTCACACAAATAGTAAAGGACGGAGGTCCTGTGTGATGCCCTGTCCAGCACCTTCCCACTGTGCCATGCTGCCTACCCCACACAGGGCTAAGAGAGTGCTTATTAAACCTTAAAGTTCCATATAAATGTGCATGAAGAGAAAGGCCCAGGTGACCTCAATAGGTGGTTGTACATTGATTCCCCACCCATTGCTAACTCCCTGTACCCCTCTTCAGCTGTACTGAAGCCCTGAGTACCTGGTGGAAGGGGCATTCATAGGCAGGATCGTAGACCTAAGGTTGGAAGGTGGCTAAGGTGTCATTGAGTCCAAATTCCTCATTTTCAGATGAGGAAATAGATCAGAGAGGTGAAAGGATGAATCCGGGGAGGCCAAGGAGTTCGATAATACTAACCCATGCCCCCTCCTCACATTTCTGCCTTCAAAGGAGGATTTGGGTGCTAGTTGAGGTCTGCCAGCATCGAAGGAATCCTCAGTCCAAATGTGAAGAAGGGACCACAGGACCTTTGCCCAAAGAAAGGGATCTTTCACCTGAGAGAGCTCTCTTTGGCTATCCCCATCACAATCAGACCTGTTCTGAGGTCTTGACCCTGGTACTGGGCCCTTTTCCTGGACCAGAATGGGCTGTCTACCTCAGAGGGTGATCTGTGGGGATCAGCTTGTACCCTCTGGAGACTCCCCAGGTCCAGGCTGGCTTAGAAGGCAGGCTTCAGATGAGATGGTCTCTGAGGTCCCTTACCCTTGTCCTGCATCCTCTTCCCCCCCCCATATTCTCTCTCCCTGGGGCCACATTGAGAGGAGGAGGCCATCCGTCCATCACCTCTCCAAAAGCAGGGATAAGTAGCTGCTGCTGCCACAGCCCTCCTCTCCTCACCCTCCTCCAGACAACGTTTGGTTAAGCCCCCGGCCTCACAATAGTGCACCATATGGCCGTGGCCCTGGGGAGCAGGCCAGGGCCCCTGTGGAATGTGAAGCCATTATCTTCTACTCCCTCCCGCCTGGCCTGGCGGCATTGTCAGGGCCCAGGGGGGAGTGGGGGCAGCCTGGAATGGAGGAGAGGCTTATTTTGGATTAAGGGGCTGGAGACCAAGTGGGGGGCAGCCAAGCGAGAGACAGACACAGAGACTGAGACAGAAAGGAGATAGAGAAGAGAGGTAGAGACAGAGAGAAGAATGGAGAGGGGGAAGGAAGGGGGAGAGAAAGGGGGAGAGGAAAAGATGGAAGGAGAAAGAGGGAAAGAGAGGAGACGGAGAGGAGGGAAGAGAATGAGAGACAGAGAAAGGGGGCAGAGATGGGGAGAAAAAAGGGATAGAGAAAGGGAGTACAGGGAGAGGAGGGGAAGAGACAAAGAGGAAGAAAGAAAGACAAGAGGGAAAATGAAAGAGAGGGGAAGGGACAGATAGAAAGAAGAAAGGAAGAGCAGGGGAAAGAATGAGAGAAAGAGGAGAGACATGGAGAGAAAGAGGGGGAGAGAGAGAGGAGATGGAGAGGAGGGGAAAGAACAAGAGAGAGAAAGGGGGCAGAGATGGGGAGAAAAAAGGGATAGAGAGGGGGAATACAGGGAGAGGAGGGGAAGAGACAGAGGGAGAAAGAGAAAGACAAGTGGGAAAATGAAAGAGAGAGGGGAAGGGACAGACAGAAAGAAGAGGAGAGGAAACAATGAGAGACAGAAAGGGGAGAGAAAGGAGGAAACAGAGAGGAGATAGAGAAGTAGAGACAGAAGAAAGAAGAGAAAGGGAGAGAAAGGAGACAGGGAGCTAAGGAAAGAAAGAGAGGGAGAGAAAGAGAGAGAAAGGAGAGAGAAAGGGGAAGAGGGAGACAGGGAGAGAAAGAGGGGTAAAGAGAAAAGGGGGAGAAAGGGGGAGTGAGACAGAGATGCAGAAACACAGAGATGGGATTGGAGGCTGGCAGGGCTCTCCCCTCCTCTCCTTCCCTCAGACTCTAGGAGGAGAAGGCCTGGCAGGTGAAGCCTGGGGGCTCCCTGGTCTCATGGTCCAGGCCCACAAACCTCTGTCTGCCTTTCCTCAGTCACAGCGGGCAGGGACGCTAGGAGCTTCTGGTGTCTGTGGCCGGGGAGGTGGGTTTAGTCTCCTAGGTCCCTTGCACCCTGGCTTTCACACACCATGGCACTGGAAGATAAGCCCTGGGCTGAGAGCTGTCAGGTGCCTAGGCTTTGGTGGAGGGGGTGCTGGGGGTACTTATCTCATCTTGTTGGAAGTGTGTCTCTTAGAAGAAGCCTTGAAATTTTTCAAGGTCTTTGATTTCCCCCTTGGAGAAATGCCCAGAGGTCTCTCCCCTACTCTCTGCAACTGAATCTGCCAGAAGAAAAGCTGATTTCAGGTGCCTTTCTCCCTGCCCAACCCAGCACCCTAATGGCTCCTTATGATTCAGGCCCCAGCCCTCTGTCTCTCCTCCAGCCTCGTGTCTGGCCAGCGCACAGTCCCAAATCCCTTGCTTTGCTGGCCCTTGTGGGTATCCATTACCAAAAAACCCTGTATCTGGCATACTGGGGTCATCAGATGCTCTGTATTGTACAATGGCGAATCACATAGCCCCCCTCCAGGAGGCAGGAGATGGAAAGGGTAGCATCCTTATAAAGGGCCACATGAGAAATCTGGTCAGGAGGGAAAGCAGGGCCCCCCTCCTTGATCACAGCTAGACTATTTTCCCCACTGTTGTAAATTTTAGTCAGTCTTCCCAACTAGAGCCATAACTAGGGCTGGGCAACTGGAGCATTGAGGCAGGCTTTGAAAATTTAGAAGGTGCTGGTAGTACTTATACTCCTTTTATGAGTAGAAACACCTGGGCTTAACCTTTAGTTAGCAACAGCAGGACAGGCACAGACCCTCTAATTTCATTTGTACAGGGAACTCGCAGATGAGAAGTCTGCCTTGACTACAGGTGCTCCACGTAGTTAGTGAGAATAAAAGTTAAAAGAGGAAGCTGTCTCTCCAGGGGAGCATCTCCTCAGGACAGTTCTAGCCTGCTTCCTGCATCAGCCTCAATAATGCCCAGGCTCTGTTTCCCCACCACCAAGCACTCTTACTCCTCCTAGGGGGGAGGGGTTACTCCTCCAAGACCCAGCAGCTGAACCAGTGGGAATAAGTAGACCACCCGCCTTTCTCAGGGTTCGCCTAGTGCCAGAATTGCTATCTGTGACTCAGTTTCTAGCCCTCTGTCCCTTCCTCACCTAGCTTCTCGTGCCAGGTCTATCTCATCTGACTGCCTTACAGCACGATCCCGGGTCCCCAGCCCTGTGGGCCTGAGGTGAGGGCGGGAGGAAGGCGGGCTCTGAGAGGAGCAGAGAACAAGCGCGGAGGAGCAGGTAGCTTAACAGCCCTGACTGTACTTCTGGGGAGGTGGGGGAAGGAAAGAAAAAGCGACATCAGAGATACATCCGCATTTTCTTCTTTTTTCTCTTTTTAAAACAATATAGTGCAGACAGCACTTCTCACAGTAGAATATAATGGTCAATTTTAGTACAAAAAACATTCTCAGAGATTTGTAAATGCACTTAGTGCTTGCACAGGCCTTGCAGAACGCTTTCTGTCTGAGCGCGACCAGTGGGCAGGAGGGGAAGAAGAGCTTGGGGCCCTAGGTGAGGGGAGGTGAGGGAAGCAGAGGGGCTTTCTAGAATGCAGACCCCCTGGGATTCTAAGCTTCTCACTCCACCAGCGGACCTGGGGAATGGCTGGGGGCAGGGAAGGACTTAGGAGGGGGGTCCCAAGAAAATGTGAAATAAATACTCAAGGACCAGGAAATAAAGCCACTAACTTAGTTGGTGGCTAGGGGTGGGGGAGGGGAGTGAGAATGACAGGCAGGTTGCTTTTTATTAATTTCAGAAAAGCAAAAATCTGAGGGTGAAAATAAAGGAGATAGTTGGGGTGGGATAGGGAGAATGGGTCCTGGGCTTTGAAAATCTAATGTTTCTCTAATTCCTACTGGGTTAGGGAAGACGAAGGGAGGAGAGCGGCCAGTGGGCAGCAGGGTCTGGAGACCTTCCAAAGGCTCCAATGACCCCTGAAGACTGCCCTGGATGGGGGGGGTAGTGTCTGCTTCGACCCCACCTGGGATGCCTCAGGAGGGAGGCAACCTGGGCCAGGGGGAAGAGGTTGTGCATACTGCTGCAGAGCTGGCTTGCCCAGGGGATTGGGGGGGGGGAAGGGCAGGGACAGGACAGTCGTGGGGCCTCCTCGGGTGGCCTTTACTTCTGGGCTTTTTTTTATTTCTGCCAAGAGGGCTGGGGGATTAGGGGGCTGCATCCAGAGTGGACCGCAGGGAGAGGGCCAGGGAGTCAAGGTGGGAGGGAAATGGGATTCCACAGTCTGGCCCCTCCCCCATCCTTCCTCCTCCCCGCCCCTCTCCGCCCCCTAGTAGGAGCCCATGGACTGCTCCGCCCCATCTTCCACTCATCCAATCTAGGATTTGATGAAGCCCAGTACCAGACAAGTGGGAAGGGCTGGAGGGGACTGGGCTCCGTCTTGGTAGCAGCCAACACAGAAGTGGGCGGGAGGGGTAACTAAAACGTGGTTTCATCCATGTTTTCCAAGTGGTTTCTTTTGCTTTTTCTAGACTGTCCCCAGTCATTCACTTTTCTTTCTTTCTTTTTTCTTTTTTTCTTTTTTTTTTTGCAAAGCAGTGCAAGGGCAGGGTTTCCCTGGACAGCGACGGCAGAGCTTGGGTGGGCGTGGACCCTCCTGCCTTGTCTTCCGGGGCTCTGGTCAGACCTCCCGCTGCCCCCTCTCCTCCAAGCAGCACCCCGCCCCCCGCCGTCTGCCAGAGAGCAGCAGTAACCGATGCCTATGCTCCCCACTTCCGAATGCTCAGGACCCCGCTCTGCCCCTCCCTCCTGGCCCAGGAGCGTGTGTCCAAAGCCTCTCAGGGTCTCCCAGCTGCCCTGGCCTGGGCCCCTCCCCCCTTGGGGGCTGAGGAGGTGTGAGGAGGGGCACACGGTGGGAATGTGGCCCTTTTCCTCTCGCTCCTGGCCTTCTTTCTCCGGCCTGTTCCCTGCCCTCCTCATGTCCGTCTGGACCAGAGCCCTCGGGCCTTATCTGTAGACAGGCAGGCGAATATGGGCGTGTTGGTGGTCCAGAAGCCGGGGGACGGACACCGTCTCGTACCCTTTGCCCAGCATCTGCTCCTTGATGCAGGGCGGGTGGATGTCATTGATGAGGTACTCCAGGGACTGGAGGCTGCTGCTCAGGATGGACGTGTTGCATACCGTCTTGCTGGGGAGGCCCGACAGCCCGTCGGCCGGGTGCACAGCCAGCTCCCGGGCTCCCGGGCCCAGCTCCGGCCCGGGGTTGTAACAGTCACTGTTGGGGGTGACCAGGATGCTGTTCCACGGGGGAGCGAAGTAGGGGCCCACGGAGAAGTTCCCGTGCATGCCCACGCAGTTCAATGGGGAGGAGTTCACTTTGTCCCCGGCTGCCCCACTCAGGAGGTAGGGGCGGGTGGCGGCCACGGCCCCCGCCCCGCCCCCACACACCTCGGGGGACTTGCTCACTGCCCCGCCCCCGCCGCTGCCCCCACTGTATAGCCGGAGTTGCTGCTGCGGCTTTTGCTGCCAGATTAAATAGTCCAGGCCGGCCCCGCTGCCATCCGGGTACCCGGCGGGCTTGAGGCCCCCCAGGGCCATGGCTGGCGTGGCCCCCACAACCAGCTCAGCCCCTTTGCGGCAGTCGGGCAGCATGGCGCTGGCGTAGGCCATGGTGGACCCAGCCATGGCCGAGAAGCCGGCGGGGGTGGCCGCCGCGGTGCGCTTGGCCGGGCTGGGGTGAGTGACCGCTACCCCCTGGCAGGCTGGCTGGGAGCCCTGTGCCTGGCACTGCTGGTTGACCTGGTAGATGATACTCTGAATGGAGGGCAGGTTAGATGGTGGCAGTGCCAGCCCACGCCCGGCCAGAGGGATGACCGAGGCAGCCACCGTGACGTTAGGGGGTGGAGCAGGCCCCTCCAGCGGCTTCTGCCCTCCGTGGTAGCCCAAGGGGACAGCGCTGGGCCCTAAAGTGCTCGACACGGGGTAGGGCGCGATGCCCACCTGCACAGCAGCAGGCGACAGCTTCGTCCGCTTGCCCTCCACGCTCTTGACCACACCTTTGCCTGAGGAGGAGGAAGAGGAGGAGGAGGAGACAGCAGCAGGGGCAGAGACGGAGCTGGAGGAGGAGACCGCCGCTTTGACGATGGCCAGCAGGCCTTGGTAGCCGCTGGCGTGCAGCGGGTAGGGGCTGTAGCGCTGGCCCGTCGTGTCGTATCCATTGACCGTGCGGCTAAGGTGTTTGTGCTGCGGGACCCGAATGTTGGTGGGGAAGATCTTGATGCTGAGGGGGCTGTTGGCCACCTTCTGGGCATAGGCGTCCAACTCTGCTGGGCTCGGGTACCTCGGGGAATGCATGGAGCTCACTGGCTCACCTAGGAGACAGAGACACAGGCAAGCGTCAGAGCGCTCTCTGGGCTGGGAGCGCTGCCCCAGGAGGGCTTGACGGGCCCTCCTCTTCCCCAAATCTTATCAGGAGGTCCCCCCACCCTGGACTTCTGTTCTAGAATAGTGGGTCCTTTCCTCCTGGGTATTAACACCAGCTGTTCTGCCTCAGCTCCCTCAGGGCTGATGGGGCCACTTCCTCTTCCCTAACTCTTCCCTTCCAGGACGTCTGATCTATAGTGTCCCTAGGGGCTCCGGGCCTTTTCCTTCTGGGTATTGGCACCAGTTGTTCTGCCCTGACCCCGTGTTGGATTTACTGGGTTCCAATACCTCTGTTCTCTTCTGGCCCCTCTAAACTGTGAATGTGCAGCAGCTGAACAAGCCCTTGTTTTCAGGACCTCCTGTGGTGCCCCCCTCTTCACTCAGGCCCTCAGACACCTTCATCACGACTTACATAACCTGAGGGCCTCTGGGCCTTGGCATCCATCCTGCCCAGCGCCCCCAGAGGATTTCCATGTGCTGCTGGGAAACTTTCTTTTACAAGATGTCCACCCCAATTAGAACAAGACCCCCTTAAGAAGTGCAAAGACTGCCTCATCTTCTCCTTTGTAAGCTGGCCGTTAGCGTGGTGCTTGGGCCAGAGGAAGCCCTTCAAAGAAACGCCTTTCACTCAATCCCTCATTTATCCAGTCATCCCTTCACTCTCTCCCCAAAGCCAGCTAAAGGTGATTACAAATTATTCTTAATCAGAAGCAGTAGAGCACAGGAGAATGGACCCTGGCTTTGGAATCAGAGGTCCTTGGTTCAAATCCCAGCTCTGCCAGGTACCACTCTGCAAAATGAGGACTAGGTGGGCTCTTTGTAGGTCCCTTCTGGTTCTGATCTGTGATCCCTACACTCACAGCTGGGGGAGGGGGTGTTCCGGAAGACAGAGGGGCCTGGACCAGGACTGACCCAACTGGGCCAGACCTCCTGCAGTGGGGAGTTGAGCTGAGTGCTGAAGGGAAGCAGGGAGTCCAAAGAGTGGAGGCTAGGAGGGAGGGCATGCCGGGCATCCAGTATAGTTTGAGTAAAGGCATGAGGGCAGAATCTGGAGTTGAGGGAACAGTAATCAGGCCATTTTTGCTGGAGCATAAAAAAAGATGAAGGGGAGAAACATGAAATCTGCCTGGAAAGGTGGGCTGGAGCCGGATGGCGGAAGGTTTTAAAAGCCAGGGAGAATATCTGTTGTAAGTAAGGGTGATGTTTTTTCTTTCTTTTTCAAGGTAGAGGAGGGGAGAAGGTGAGGCAAGAAAATAGATTTTGGTTAATTTAAAAAATATATATGAATATATCTGTAAACAAACAAAGAAATAAATGTATCTATATCTCCAGGCAGAGGAGTTTGGGGAACTTTTTTGGCCAAGTCTTTTCTCCCTAGCAAGATGAGAAGCCCCACCCCCAAAAAAAATAAAGATGAGAAGCCCCCTGAAGGCAGGTCGTTCTAAATTCTCTTCCATAGCATGTGCCTTGGCACTGGGTACCCAGGGTGCTCAGTAAATACCTCCTCACCTACCTGCCTAATTTTGACCCCCGTAAGCCCCCCACCTCACCCTGGTTTCCCATTAGACCATAAGCTCTGTGAGCCCCTCTGGCTCCCACAGGCTTCCACCCCGCCCCCATCAGAGCAGCAGAGGCACCAGGGCCTGGCTAATGAGGCTGGCTGCAGTGCTTGTCCTCAGAGAAGCAGCCTCTGGAGTGCACCCGTCACTGTGACTCCTTCCCAGGGCTAGACTTGGTGGGGCTGGCAGCCCCCGCCCCACTTGGCTTCTCCCAAAGGTGCTGGGACCCCGCCTGCCCACCCGCCTGCCTTCTTCCCTCACCCTGTCTCCGCTGTTGACAGCAGGATGATCGGGTGGCCATGCCTTATTTATGAACTGTCAGTAATGGGGTTGAAGAGTGTAATTTACATGACACATTAAATGTCCAAGCTGTTAGCCAAAACAAACAGCCATCAACGCAGGCAGGATGGCCCTGAGACCTTCCCTTATGGACTTCTCTCCTCCCCTGCCCAGCCCTCCCTTGCCTTCTAGCCCCCTCCAAGCCCAGGCTCACCCAGTGCCCCCCCCAGAAGGAACCAAGGGTCTCCTGAGGCTCCAATGTCCTCACTTGGGAGATGGGGATCAAAATGTTGGTACTGCCTACCTCCCAGGCCTGGAGTTACCCACAGTGTGTCAAGGACCTGTGATTCTCCTGGCAGAACCGCAGCCCTCTTGTTATCTGTGGTCTTAGAGAGCTGCCCAGGGTTCACGGCACTTGAGCAAGTCCGCCAAGGTCACACAGATAGTAGTAAGCAGTTAGGTGGCGTCTGAATCCAGGTTGTCCTGAATCCAACCGTCTCTCTCTGTCTCTCTGTCTGTCTCTCTCTTTCTATCCATACATATACTCACCCACACATATATATGCATTTATATTCATATATATATAAATATACATATATATATGTTCCTCTGTGTGTGTATATGTGTCTCATGCACGAGCAAAAGGAATAGGGAGTAGACTGGTTTAGGGAACTCCCAAGTAAGGAAAGTCCCTCCACTAACAATGGTTGGCACCTTTCTTAGCCTCTTTTGACACTGAGAGGTTAAGCCACTGGCCTGAGGCCCCACAGCCAGGAAGCACTGGAGGTGGGTAGGATTGGAATCCAGGTCTGCTTGAATCCCTGTCCAATTCACTCTCTGCTATCTCAGTGAAGGCCAGGAGGGATAGAGGTTGGACCCTGGATTTAATTGGTTGGTGCAGGGGAACTCCCAGCAAAAGAAACTCCCTCCACCGAGGCAGTGTGGTGCCTTCTCCCAGTCTGAGACTTGCTTAGAATACTGAAGGTCAGTGGCTCATTCCATCTCAATGACAGCCGTCATTAGGATTCTCTGGGAATACGCCACGGTCTGGGTTCCGCATCCAGTCCGTACTCAATAGATGGTGGTATCTGATGGCTCCCTAGGCCCTGTCGGTCAGGCAGAGTTCAGGGTCGCCTGTTTTGGGGTCCCTGTATCTCCTCTTCAGCGTCCATACCTCCTCCAGAGCAGGTCTCCACCCCCCAGGGCAGGACTCACTGCAGGGAAGGGCGTGGTAAGGGGCGTGCCCCTCCTCTTCCTTGTCTGTTCCTCCCTCCCCTGCCCCAGGTCGCCCCAGCTGACACTGAATCCCCTCTTCAGACCGTCCCTCTCTTCTCTAGGCTATCCCAGGCAGACCTTTCACCTCAATGGCAAACACCAATGGGTGCCAGGCAAGCAGGGGAATTGATTCCCCATTTGGCTCCATTTTCAATGCAAGCCAGCAAGTCTTTATTAAGCACTCACTGTACACCAACACTGCTCGCTGTTGAGGAGGCAAAGACCCAGACCAAACCATCCCTGGCCCTGTTCTATGGACCTTTCATTTTAGGCAGCGGCTGAAAGGGCCTCAGCAGCCTTTTTGTCTCTCCTGCATCTCAGTGGGGACGTTCTTTACAACATCTCTGACCAGTGGTCACCTGGCCTCTGCCTGGACACCTGCGGTGACAGCAGCCTCATTACCTCCCCAGGTGGCCCACTGCCCATATGGGAGGCTCCTTCTTCTTCTGTGGAGCTGGGCTCACCCTCTTCAGGCTCCCAGGTCTGTCCTGCAGGGCTAGGCTGCCACCCCATTCCCCTTCCAGGCAGCCATCCCACTCCCCTCCCAGGCTGCCACCCCACTCCCCTCCCAGGCAGCCATCCCACTCCCCTCCCAGGCAGCCATCCCACACCTCTCCCAGGCTGCCATCTCACTCCCCTCCCACTGGTCACTCCTGCCTCTCCTGTCTTCTCAGGCTAATCTTCTCCAGTTCCTTCCAATGATGCTTGTTGGAAGGGTCTCAGCTCTCCTCCAGTATTACCATGGGTGGCGTGGGTTCCCTTTTCTTTCATAGGATTTAGAAGTGACCTGGATCAGAGTGTCTGACTTTGGAGGACTTTTGGGGGCTCACTATCCTGTAAAGTGCATTCTCTGTTCTCGGAATGATCTCTCTCCTCCCCTCCTCCTTGCACAATTCCCAGCTTCCTCCAAAGTATAGGCCAGGTGCCCTTCCCTATAAAACACAAGTTTGTATTTACTCTGTATAGACTGTATATGAAGAGGCAGCCTTGGGTCACGGACAGAAACTGAGTTTTGACAACAGAAGACCTGCGTTCAAATTCTGCCTATGATGCAGACAGAGAAGGTACCAACTTCCCGGACAGGAGGAGTTTCTACACCTGGGAGTTCGTTATAGCAATGAAGTCACAGGTGTCCTGAGCCCTACATTTTACATGAAACGAAGTATAACGTAGTGTAGAGAGAGGGGACCTGGAGGACCGAAGGCCTGGGGTCAGGTCCAGCCCCTCCACAGTGCTCCTGCAGCTGTCTGAGACTAAGCCGCAGGACAGCTAGGGCACAGCTTTGGTGCAGGACATTTCTTCATTGGGAGGTTGCTTTCTTGATGAAATCACAGCCCTAGACTAAAAGAAAGAACATTCTATATGCTTCTCTGTGCATGTTTGGCTTTCCCTCAGCAGGACATAAGCCTTTAAGGCAGGGACTGTTTGGTTAAGCAGGCAGTGGACAGAGGGCTGGGGTCAGGAAAACCTGCCTCTGACCCTGGGCACTTAACTCCTTTCAGGCTCAGTCTTCCCATCTGTAAAATGAGGACAATAACAGCCCCCACCTCCCAGAGTCATTGCGAGGATGGAACGGGATGATATGTAAAGTGTGCTGCTAACCCTAAAGTGCTTTAAAATGTTTGCTGTTATTATTACCCCACTGCCGGGGCCAGATCAAACACTCAGTAGATGCCTGCTGAATTGAATTTCCACGAGAGGATGGGAGAGGGTACATTCGTAGGCCTGTTCTCCCCCTCCCCTTAGACTCCAATTTGCCCTGTGCCTTGGTCTCTGCTCCACATCCCGCCCTGGGAGTGCTCCCATTCTAGCCCAGGGCGGCAGTGATGGACCCC